GGTTCCAGGGTCTTGCTAGTTTTCATTGCTCAGCTGCCTTTAGTTTATATCCATGTGGCCTCTCATGGGAAGGTCACTCTGTCCTTATAGACTGAGTTTCTAATCAGCAAAAAGCTCTGGATCCACTCATATTTCTCAGAGTTTTTCTGCTGACCTGCTGACACTTTATATAAATGAGACCTAAGAAACTACCGGATATAAAATCCTTACTGTTATCACTTGCCCTCGATTTCCATAGGAATGGGGTGCTGTCTCAGGCTGTCTAAGGCTATATTTGAACAATGATGGGGTGTTAGGCTGTGCTACTGGACCCTCCACAGTCGAATGGGATTTCCACCTTAGTTTTTAGAATCAGGCAGACGCTTTCAAATCTTGCCTTTACCAGTTACTAGCTTTGTGACCTTGGGAAAGAAACTGCACTTATTTGTGTCCAATTTTCTTTATATGTAGATAGGTTCAGTATTTATTTTAATGTTTTTGTTATAGAATTGAATGAGCTAATTCCCTCATTTATACCTAAAATACTGATCGTGTGGTTCAATGGTGGTGCCTTGGTAGTTGATTACTAAGGAACTCGGCAGTGAGAATAGGGGTGGGGGACCCCTGGATCATAGAGCTTATATTCCAGGATATGCTTGTAAAAGACTGGATGTGCAGTGGATTTTTAGTAAATATCCATTCCTTTCCTAATCCGCATTGATTGTTTATAAATCTTTATACTAATATATGAGCAATTTTTATTGCAATTTAAATCTCTTTGTAGTATTTAATATATGTAGCTATAACAAAAATACGTGAAATAAAATGATTCGATTATTTTTTCAATAAGCAAAACAAAAAAATAGAAAAGAAAAAAAGTTTTGAAAGAGTAGAAATAATTTTATTTCTGTGGAATCAATTCCCAAGATAGGTTTTTTGGTTGTGTTGTTAAACAGCAAATAAAATTGATAGGTTGTGACATAATGGAAATGAGGAAACAGTGGAGACATACTACCTCCAATACAGTCATTTTGTTATCAAGTCCAATCTCGTTCTGCTTACTGCATGACAGGCCAATAAATCGGGAGATGAGCTGTTGGAGCAGGG